TTCCCAAATCTATCAACTCCAAATCAGAATAGAGCCATGGAGAGATTATATGCTCCTTAATGGAGCCATCACTAGTGATTAACAATGCATAAGCAACAGGGCTCCATCAAGGAACATATAATCTCTTCCCACAACCAGACCATCACCAGAGAAGTCTTAACAAACAACACAGAAATCATCGATAGATACAGCTATAGCAGGCGGCTCGACATCTGCGAGGCACTACACATCTAGGAGTTAACACCAGCAATCAACAGCCAATTAATACACAACTATATTCTACCCACTTCAAGACTACGTACCAATATAGAAGCATCAAGAGGAAGTATGGACCAATAGGCCCCTTGCAGTTACTTCCATTCTTCCCTCTCATTTATCCAATTAATACCCATTCTTCCGTGTTCTGTCTTGTGTTGGTCAAAAGTTTGTTCACCTCACCCAAAACTGTTGCAACATATCACCTCACCCAAGTGGGAGTATATAAGACAAGCTGTTTAGTGTTAGCATAAGTAAAACTCTGTTTAGTGTTTTCAGGTTACAGTTGTGTGTGTGTAAACTAAAGTCTTTGAAAATGTAATAAGTTATTACAAAACGCGAAATTACATTATTACGAAATAATATATATATATATATATATATATATATATATATATATATATATATATATATATATATATATATATATATATATATATATATATATATATATATATATATATATATTGTGAGGGTACCACCTCTGTTGCCAATGTGGGACCCATAGCATCGGAGAAGAAAATAAAAAGTATTCAGAGAAGACCTTGTGGTTTCTCACTGAACACTAATATTATCTTCTCCTACCACCCCCATTCTTTTGTACGTACACATATATATTTGTTTTATTTGAACTTCGTTACAAAAAAGGAGTTACATATAGGGTACAAATATGGTTATCATAGGTTGTCGAGTTCCTCCAGCTCCTCAGACGGCGGGCAGGAACCCTGGATGCAGTGCGCATTTCCCTTCTATATCGCCACGCTGAGGCGCTGGAAAAGAAAGCTGGCAGCTCTAGGGTCCCTTGTTGTTTCAATGAGCTTAGAACCCAGTTCCTTCAAAAAACTGGTAGCACTTTTACCCCAGGCGCCGAGTGTCTCAGAAGCAATGGGGACAAAATTGTAGTGGTGATCCAGTTCTCTGTACTTATGGTATTTGGCTGCTTCCCTGTGGATGGCAGCGTCACCTGGTTGTGCAACACTGAGGTCATTGTAGGTGTTAGCCAGAGTTGATACGCACATGTAGTCCCATACCAACTACTTGCCGTTCTTCCAGGGGTTCACTGTGATACCATCCGGGCAACCAATATATTATATACAGTATATATATGTATATGTATATACTGTATATATATATTGTGACGATAATCTCTTTCAAGAGAGATTGAGCCTGCTCTTCCCTACATCATTACGTCAAAGTACAAGATACTATATAGAAGATACGACCACCAGTATCGCCAAACGTTTTGCCCAGGAAGCACATCGTACCCTGCACACCCCAACACCTGGCCACAGCCGATGTAACCAGCAAACTGCTCATCCTCTGCCTGCCTGTTGCTGATTGGCTGGTGTCTCATTGCACCTGCACTCCACCACCACCACAAGTCGATGTCTGGGCTGCAGCGCGCCAGACTCGTCAGAATATCTTTGTGCTCCATGAAGTTGACATCTCTCGCTGGTAGACTAAGCCTTGGCTTTCGTGTACTAAGGGAGGTGGCAGCTTGAAGCCAGTATTCCAGCACCCATATTATTTTATTTTGCTATCACTGTAACTTACTTGTCTTAGCGTAACTTTTCATTTGCCAGTGATTATTCATGTTATTTTGTTTGTTGACTTGTCCTGCATTTTATGAGACTGCCTTTATTCATGTCTTGTTTTCTAGAGTAATTAAAATTTCATTGTTTATATACTTATGTTTTGTGTGTCTTCCCATTACCTTACCACAGACGAAAGGACAAACTTTTCTCTTTTTTTTTTGTGATGTGACGAGGCCCTGCCCCCAGCTTTTGAAACAGCCGAACACCAACGCTTTACCGTCACACATATATATATATATATATATATATATATATATATATATATATATATATATATATATATATATTATGTCGTACCTAGTAGCCAGAACGCACTTCTCGGCCTACTATGCAAGGCCCGATTTGCCTAATAAGCCAAGTTTTCCTGAATTAATATATTTTCTCGAATTTTTTTCTTATGAAATGATAAAGCTACCCATTTCATTATGTATGAGGTAAATTTCTTTTTATTGGAGTTAAAATTAACGTAGATATATGACCGAACCTAACCAACCCTACCTAACCTATCTTTATAGGTTAGGTTAGGTAGCCGAAAAAGTTAGGTTAGGTAGTCGAAAAACAATTAATTCGTGAAAACTTGGCTTATTAGGCAAATTGGGCCTTGCATAGTAGTTTGAGAAGTGCGTTCTGGCTACTAGGTACGACATATATATATATATATATATATATATATATGTGTGTGTGTGTGTGTATATCACGAAAATAAACACGTGATTAAGAATGTGACAATGTCAGACCACGGAGGAAAATGAAAACAGGAATTTCCTTAAGTACTTTCGTATATTAAATACATCTTCAGAAGGAATGATCATTCCTTCTGAAGATGTATTTAATATACGAAAGTACTTAAGGAAATTCCTGTTTTCATTTTCCTCCGTGGTCTGACATTGTCACATTCTTAATCACGTGTTTATTTTCGTGATATACACACACACACATATATATATATATATATATATATATATATTTAAAGGTTACAAAACATACAAGACAAATGCCTAAAGGTTATGGATCTCTTGAAGCTCCTCCGCTTCTGGACAGGAACCGAGGACGCAGCAAGCATTTCCCCTCTGGATCGCCACACTGAGACGCTGAAATAAAAAACTGGAAGCCCTTGGGTCTCTGGTGACGTCAATGAGCTTGGACCCCAATTCCTTGAGAAATCCCAAGGCACTCTTGCCCCAGGGGCCATGCGTCTCAGACGCTATGGGAACAAAGAGGTATTGACCTTCCAGTCGCCTGTACTTGAGTGATTTTGCTGTTTCCCTGTGGTTGGCCGCCCCACCTGCTTGATCAGCTCCCAAGTGTACATTGGTGTCAGCCAGGGTGGATACACATGTGTAGTCCCACACCAACTGTCTACCCTCCTTCCATGAGTATATGGTGATGCCATCAGGGCGAAGTGCTGGGAAATCCGGGTTTTGGACCCCTAGGATGCGAGGTTCTCTCTCCGCTGGGCACCCAGCTGAGACGAGGCTTCTCTTGATGATGTCATTGACCTCGTTGTGTCTTGCATGCCAGCCCTTTGTGCTTCCGCAATGCAACCCATGCAGTCCGTATTGGTCTGCTTCCACCCTGTTGCAAATACACTTGTATTCAGTGTGAATTGGGGCACCAAGGCGGAGGGCCACTGCTACACGAAGGGATTCTGGATCTAGGCGCGTGCCCATTGCAGACATGGGTACTGCCAGGAGGAAGTCTCCTGCATGGGGGGCACGCACTGCTCTGAGGCGGGCTTTCTCCTTGTCTGATGTTGCGACGCTTAGCATGGCATCAGCTACTTTTTCCACTAGAGGGTGGTCCCAGCCGGACTGTTTGTGTTGTTTTGTTGGCTCTATAATGGTTGCTGGGGCTGCAAGAACATTTCACTGATTTGAACATTCAGTGAAAGCAGGATCGTGTATGTATATATATATATATATATATATATATATATATATATATATATATATATATATATATATATATATATATATATGTCATACCTAGTAGCCAGAACGCCAGAACGCCAGAACGTTCTGGCTACCTAGTAGCCAGAACGCATGCATATATATATATATATATATATATATATATATATATATATATATATATATATATATATATATATATATATATATATATATATATATGTATGTATGTATGTATGTTGTACCTAGTAGCCAGAATGTCATACTTGGCTGACTATGCAAGGCCCAATTTGCCTAATAAGCAAAGTTTTCCTGAATATATATATTTTTCTATTTTTTTCTTATGAAATGATAAATCTGTCCATTTCATTATGAATAAGTTAATTTGTTTAAATTGATTTAAAACTAACGAAGATATATGACCGAACCTAACCAACCCTACCTAACCTAACCTAACCTATCTTAACCTAACCTAAACTAACACAACTAAGTCAATAAATTATGGTCTTAATATAATATAATAATAATAATTAAAATAAACTAATTGTAAACAATTTATTGAAAATCAAGAAAATCACTCGGCCTATTAGGCAAATCAGGCCCTGCATAGTAGGCTGAGAAGTGCGTTCTGGCTACTAGGTACGACATATATATATATTTATACACATAAACATGTACATACATACAGACAGTACTCACCTAGTTGTGCTTGCAGGAGTCGAGCTTCGACTCTGGTCCTGCCTCTCAACTGTCAGTTAACTAGTGCACAGATTCCTATATGCCTAAATATAAGTACAGTATGCCTATCTATAAGCCTAAATCTTAAACTATAAATAGTACTTATTTTGTCTGAAATATATACATGGTAATCACTCATTTATCACTGCTTAAAGTTCAGGGACTTCGAGTATGGCCGCCCCCCACATGTTTACACATTGGATGGTGATTTTGCCAGATATGGGCCTCATTTTTTTTATTAAGGCCCTAGAAGGACAGTGGATTTTTTTCAAGATGGGGGACGGTTACTCGGGGTCTGAGGAAGCAAATGTGATCCCTGTGTATGTGCAGGACTATTTTGAATATTTTAAATCTCTAAATCATATATATACAGTATATATACACAGATATGTGCAGTGGAAGGGCTAGGCACCAAGCAAAATCTCGTCTTCAGAGTATAACAAGACAAAATATATACAGATTAGAAATTTTTGACATAAAAAGGTTCAACTAAACTTCCATCTTTTCCAGGTCATGTCTTTATTGCTAACCCCACGGAGACTCGTAAACAATACAATATTTAGTATCATGTCATGTCTAGATTCTTCTGAGGTGCAAACTGACTTTGGTGTTAGCTTCATAGACTATAGTTAAAAAGGAAGACTCAATAATGGTATGAAATAGCACAATTTTTGGTTTCTGGCCATTAGTAAGTCTATATATACTGTAATTTTAATTTGGCATGTCTTAATTTTACTTAAATAATATTTATATCAGCTTAACTGACAGCAGTAAGCTGTCAAGACCAGGACAAATAAAAACAGCAATTGAACATTCCTTTCTTCTGGAATGACCGTTATTTGTTTATAAAGTGTTTGTTAATTACACAATGTCAAAAATGTTTATAAACTGAAGCAGCTCTACTTACAAAATTGTCTTCATCCATGTATTCTGTGTTTGAGCAGAGAGCCTAAACCATTCTCAGGCTCTTTAATATTCAAAGTCTAAAGATTGGAAAAAATATCTTGGTTTCACATCTACGAAACCAGTTTCAAGAAACACACAGCAAGTCTAACATAGCTAAAGCATAAATATACAGTTCAGTAAAAAACTAAGTAGAGGGGGGGCAGACGTTGCCTATCCTATAAGCTTGTATGATCAATATACAATATGTACATTATATAAGTTATTGCTACAACAAATGGCAGAACTTATCAAGGGACAAAAAGGCACTTCCTAATTCAGATAATGTGTTTAAACTTTCAGGTTTTTAAAACCGAAAATTGACAATGAATGTGGAATAGCTTATGTCTTGGGAATGTTCAGGAACTTCACTGAGTAGAAACGGAGAGATTAGTTTAAAAAAAAAAAAAGTCATCGAGATCAAAATTTGACTAAGTAAGGGTACTGACTAAGCCTTCCATAAATGCAAATAAGGACCATAACCAAGATTCATATTTTACTACATAAAAGAAAGTTGACTATACATTTTATTATGTTTTGCTTCTGCCCACCAACACTGACGCATCAGCAAAAAATACTATTGATATTTGTTGGCCACCTTCCTCTTTGTATAAAGTTTACAGGTAACATGGTCAACGGTCTATGATAAAACATGAGGATATAGAGTGTTTTCTGGATTGTATGAATGACTTTGTGCTTATGGTTGAAGGTCACCTGGTCCAAAGTTGTATGGAATGAAAATGTGACTTTGGCCTGTCACACAAACCATCCAAAGTTTGTGCAACAAAGTGTGTACCCCTGAGACAAGTAGTACCTTTGTATTTTATTTCCTTGGGCAGCTGAGCAGGAATGAAGGTGCAGTAGATTTCAAGACCTAAAGCTCAATTCATTCACCTTACACTATAGACAATAGCATGTAGCAATGACATTCATAATTTTACAGTATATCTAAATTATAACTACACTGAGAGTAATTATCTATTCAGAAATTAAATTTGATTACTGCATATTTCTGCACCAACTTTACTGACCAAGTTGGACATGGCATAATTTAAACGATGTTAAAGAGGTTTAACTGAGGCAAGAAAAGCATATTTTATACAATTATCTCCAGCTGCAAAGGGCAAAAAAGTCATTAGAATAAAATTTGTCAGTTTGGCATGATTAAAAATAATATCATTACCAACATGGCTTGGAATAAAAGAAATAATGAAAACAAGTTCGCTTCTGTCAGATATGAAATAAAAAGTGTACGAACATTGAGAACACATGAATTAAAACATGTATATCCCAAAATCCCTAAGAGCATGCATGCTTAAAGGCTGGCATTGTGTCAGTCTTGCAGAAGTCTAAGGGTGCAGTAAGAAAAATCCTGCACAGCCCACTACCAAATGTGCTCATCCATCCAACACTATTGGCACACACCAATAGTGTTGGAGGGTAGCTCCAGGAGGGCCAAGGTGCACACCCAACACCACCTAACATGGAACAATAATTGATCCCTCAAGAGACTGATACAATAACAATTTTCAATTTACTGACTGACAAGGAACACATTTTCTGAAACGTTTTTTGTCTTGTAACAATTATATAACAAATTGAGAGAATACAAGTAACATAAAAATTCTGAAGACAAGAAAATATATATTTGTTGTGCCAAAGCACATCATTACTATATAAATACAGATATTGAAAGAAATTAAACATTATTAAGTACCCTACATCCAAAATACATTATCAGCTACAGAATGTATAAAGCGTTGCTCATCACCCACAAGGAGTAAAGGAAGGTTTGACAGGAGTAAGTATAAAATTCTTGAGCAGCATTTTACAGTTATTAAGGACTAGATTATGCCTCATGTCAGAGGGCTGTTTCCATAGACTCTTTTTCATCCGCTTCATTATCTTTCATGGCTGAAGGAGAGTCGATATCTTGTTGTGCATCAGCAGTAATAATAGACAAGTCTGGTGGCTGTGGAGGCTGGTCAAGGGTGGTGTTAGGGGTTGAATGTAGAATTTCCTCTGAATGGTCAACAGGAGAAGGAGGAGGGGATGATGTAGTGCGGTTAGAACTACATGGTTCACTGTAAGCTCGTTCTAATGGACCCCTTAAGTTTGATATACACTGCCGCTCCGGGCTTCCTGCACTACTGTCATCTTCCTCTTCCTCCTCCTCCTCTTCCTCTTCCCAGACCTCTCCACCATGATCTTCCAATATGGTTGTACTAATAATTTCAGTTTTTGGTGTACGAAATCTCCTGCCACTACCAAAACGGCTTTGAAAGAGTAATGCTCTAGCAGTGTTGCGGGAGGAGGGTGGAATTATTACTCCTTCACCACGTATCTGGGAGGGTGATGGTTGTGGAGGTTTTACCACAGGAGCAGGAGGCGGCGAGTATCCGTATATTCCTGGCCGAGACGCTTTTAGCATTTCCACAGCTGAAATTCTTTGGTTACTACCAGCAGAACTCATACTTTTATTTAAAATCATTTTTTTAAAATCACCCAGAGTTGTCTGCTTAGGAGTAGACTGTGAAGGTTGAGACTGGTAACCTGACTGAGTTTGTTGGAATGACAGAGACTGAAGATTTTGTTGAGACAGCTGGCTCTGTTGTGAATCTTGACCACTTACAAGTTTACTAGGGCTTTGTTTTGATTGAGATTCATATCTGCCTAAGCTTTCACAAGATAAGTCCTGATAACCTTCAGGTGGATCAACATCTGCTGTGGGTGAAATATCTTCAGATTGTGAATCAGGTAACGAGTGTTGAGGCATTGATGGGTCTCTAGGAGGAACTCCTGTCTCCTGCTGGTTTATCTGTTGATCAGGAGGCCAGCTGCCATAAACATTCTGAACCTGGGGTCTAATAGTATATGGTGGAAGGGGATTGACACCAAATACAGCAGGGGAAGTGCTACGACTAGATGTTGGTGTAGTTTTCTGGTTTGCAAAGTCTCCAGTAGGTCCAGTCACTGTACCTCTGTTTGAGTTGTAATACTGAGGGTGGCGCATTGCCGAGTACAGTTCCTCTCTACTCATGTAACGCCGCCCTCGAGTCAAATCTGTAACTGTAAGGTCAGTTACATCAGACATTACACTCTGGGGTGACGGATTCACAGAAACAAAAGATGACTGGTTGCTGTCTGGTGGAGAAACTGGTGTAGTTGGTAGTGATCGTGGTCCAATACCTCCTGCTCCCTGCTGCTGCTGCTGCTGTTGTTGGAGCTGCATAGCTTGGTGCTGCGCTCTTCGGCTATAATAATAAACTTCAGCTGATGGGCTACTCCGGTAACTCTGTTCACCAGAAATTTCACTGGAGTATGAAGAGTTCATATCTGAGGAAGCCGTGTCAGGTGAGGGGTAGCGAATAAAGCTGGAATCATCTGGAGGAACAGGTTTTCTAGCTCCTTTCTCTGATGCTGCCTTGAAGCCTCCATCATCATCCTCTGTTGATTCATCCTTATTTTTCTTCTTTCTTCGTAAAGGCAAAGTCCAAAACCATTTTTTCTTAGTCGGTTTCTCACTTTTTCCTTCTTTTTTCTTTTTATCTTTATCTTTTTCTTTTTTACTGGATTTCTCTTTTTTGTCTAAAACCTTTTCAGGAGTGCTTGGGTTAGAAGCAGCTGACCTTCGCACTCCTCTGCTGTCCATTCCAGTTGTATATGAAGCTACACTAGATCTTCTAGACAACTGCTGCTGCTGCTGCTGTGTCAACTGCTGAAGATGTTGCTGCTGTTGCTGCGTTTGAGGTACAAATGACTGTCGTCTGGATGGGGGAAGAGAACTGTACCCTCTCTGATATCTCCCAAAGCCAGCAGGTAAGGTTCCTCCAACTTGAACATGTCGAGTCATACCAATTCTGCCATAAATATCACTGTCAATTATACTATGCTGTTCACTGTATGGAGGTGGAGATGTGGACATAGGTCTGGGAGGCTGCGGCTGCTGGCTGGTTCCTCTTCCCTCAGCTACTAAACCCACACTTTGAAGGCTACGCTGGGATCCGTACAGTAAACCTATGGATGAAATGCCATTGAGTATGTTACCATATACTTATTTACTTTATTAACCTGAAGGATAACTTTTGCACATCAAGCACTCGGCAACTTCTGAGCATTATAAATGCTTGCTCATTTATTTAAACCATGTGAGGGCATGCATTCATATTTATGTTTGAGGGAATTAATCTATGTATATTGTATTTTAATTTGTTCTAATGTAATGTGCGTGTATTGGAAAAAGATTCTCAAATAATATGGTAGTGTGTGTGTGTGTGTGTAATTGCCTAAGTATAATTACCTAAGTGTAGTTACAGGATGAGAGCTACGCTCGTGGTGTCCCGTCTTCCCAGCACTCTTTGTCATATAACACTTTGTGTGTGTGTGTGTGTGTGTGTGTGTGTGGTTTATCTCTACCATTTGAAAGAAAATCAAATTAAATTTGAAATACAGTTGTGTTTATTAAACAATTATACAAAAGATGCAATGAGCATACTGCAGTGCTTAATGAAAGTAGAAATGGAACAAACAATATTTTGATTGACCACATTCCACATCATCAATACAGTAGCTGTTGTTTGGTATAACCTTTAGAAGACAAGATCTTCATGCAATTCTGCTGTTATTTCCAAATTTGTTTAAATAACCTCAATCATAATCAAGACATTTCTCACTTCATCATATTTTAAGTTAATTTGCCACTTACAAACTAACTTAAGTCACTTAAGTCCTGACAGGGATCACAGCATGGTTGCTGACCACACAAATTATGTTCTGTGACTGAGCAACATGATACAGCTATAATGACACTGTCTTGCCATCTGACACAGTTCTTCAGAGGAGATGCCATTCATATCTGGTGTTTACAACATCTGAAGGTATCATTGACCAACTCCAAGTTATAGAAAAGCTCAGTTATGTAATACGCTGTAAAACAACCTTAGAACCTCAAATGAAGGAGCAAGAAGAATATTATGAAAAATGCATGTTGACTACCAATGCACAGAATATCCCCTTTGAAAATATTGCAAGGCTTTGACAGTACTGTGTCGTACATGTGTAAATGTAATAAAGATTGCCAATTGATGATTTATGCAACATCATTCATAATTCCACCTCTGAAAGGAATAGAAAATATCAAGAAATGTACCTTTCAGTATCAGAAAGGATCCCAGAAGTAAAATGGCAATTGGAAGATCTTTGTGACATTTGAATGATAAAAAGGGTCACATTAAAATTGCTGAAAAAGTATTCACACAAAAATCTTGTGCACATTCCAGTTGCTGTGAGGCTGTTCACCAGTTATACTTATCATATGTACAACCATCATGCTAATTAAGAATTCAAAATTGAGGAACACTTTACAAAATGTAATGCTGTGCAATCTTTAATTAATTATAATAGAGAAGAAAATAATTAGTACGTAATTAATATGACGTAGTCAATGAGGATGTGTCTGCTAGTTCATGTAACATAATTATCCAATGACTTTGAAAACAAAATTCACAAGTTAAGGCTACAGGGTGGAGTCAGCCTGTACACGAAAGATGCACATTTCTGCCCAGAGCTACTAAACACCATAAACTATATGGTGGAAGTGCTGATAATCAAAATAGAAATCCTAAATGATTGTCCTTGTATATAAATCACCAGACATAAATCCTCAGTAGCTTAGAGACTTATGAAAATAGAATCAATAGAATCTTGCTTAGAAAACCTTACAAATCCTGCCAAACATCATCTTGCTTGGTGACGTCAATTAATGGAACCTAGAACTGAAAATCGTAGCAAATATTGTACCACTAATTACCTGAGGGCCACTAACACTAGTTACCTCAACGAGGACAGGACACCGGCGGTTTGTCGAAGGTCCCATCATTTGCCTTATTGATCCTTTCCTGGTGGATTTTAAAACATAAGAGTTTTGGTATTTGCGGCTTTGGCGGGTAGGCGGTTCCATGGGTTTAGAACCCAGTGGGTGAAAAAGCATCTCCTGTTCTCTGGAGATTGAGGCTTGTTGAGCTTTAAACTGGTGCTCCTTGTTTGAGTTACATCTGACTTTTTGAAGAAATTGTCAAGATCAACATCCTCTCTGTTTCAACCATTGTTTTATCCTTTCTAGTATTTTACCATTTATTCCATGTGCCTGTAATTTCCTTGTCAGTTTTTCATGTGGTATCTTATCAAAGGCTTTAGCAAAATCCATGTATATTACATCCACCAAAAGGCCATTGTCTGAGTAGCTGGTTACCGTTTCAAAAAATGTGAGCAGGTTTGCAAGGCAGGATCTAATTTTAATACACCCATGTTGTGTCGATTGTACAAGATTGTTCACTGAAAGATGGTGAATGATTCCCTCCCTGAGGATTCTCTTCATGACCTTGCAGATGTGTGATGTCAAGCTGATTGGCTGGTAGTTTTCTGCTGAGCTCTTTCTGCCTTTTATAAAAATAGTGGTAACATTTATACATTTCCATTCAAGGGGGCTATTACTTGCTCCAGATATTTTGTGAAAAGTAATTTCAGCGGTAGGCATAGTTCTTCTGCCAGTTCCTTTATAATTTTGGATTGGATTCCATCCACACCTGAGGCTTTTGAGTCTTTTCAGTCGGTTGATGATCTTCCTGATTACATTACATAACATATAATGAGATTATGTCACATGTTATGGGTATATCTCTAAACTCATTCTCCTCCCCTCCTTCAAACATTTGTGTGCGTCAATGACATTCGGGAGTTACAATTAGTTAGATTTTAAAACCAAAGGAACAATGCATGCATGTTCGTAATAAGGCGAATAGGTCATTGGGGATTATTAATCTAAGCGTTAGTAACAAGACGCCTGGTGTTGTTCTTCACTAATCTTGCACTGTTTTTGAGCCTCAGTTAGAATAAGCAATTCGGTATTTGTCCGCCGTAAATAAATCACTTGAACGTAAATCACTTGAACGTGAATGACATCATAATCGGATGTCATCCAACCTTTCAAGTGTCAACACTGATGTAAAATAATAATTTTGAGTATTTGCTGCCCTTTTATCATCCATTATAGCTTGGTTAGTCTTATCTACGTATTAAGGGTCCAACAGAGTCCTTTGTTTTGGTTTGACATCTTAAATAGGCATAAAATAATTTTGGATCTTTCTTTATGTTCTGGCCAAGTTTTCTTTCATAGTTTCTTTTGGCTGATCTGATTTTCTGAGTGGCTGAGTTTAGTGCCCTTTTGTATAACTCATATAATCAGTGATGTCCATCATGGATTTATACATTCTCCAGAGGTTCCTCTTGGTTATCAATGCTCGTTTTATGACCTGTGTCATCCATCTAGTTTCCTGCCTTGTCTTTCTTCTTTTCGGCACATATTTTTGAACAAGTTTCGTGATGACCCTCTTGAAATTTTGCCATGATGCTTCCGTGCCATGCTCGCTCATCACCATGTGTGTGAACGTTCATAGTTTCTTATATAGGTATCCCATACCTGCTTGATGGGGTTCTGAGAGTTCTTCTACTCCCCAAGCCCGGCCCGAGGCCAGGCTTGACTTGTGAGAGCTCGGTCTACCAGGCTGTTGCTTGGAGCAGCCTCAGGCCCACATATCTACCACAGGCTGGTTGGTCCGGGCTGGCACATGCACATGGTATCACAACATCTACAGAACCCTGGATATTTGCTACACCACTATGACATGGCCTTAAATGCCATGGAAGACAAGCAAAATGCTGATTTAGTATACAGTACTGTACATGAATTTTGTGAAACCTTTCAATAAATATTGACACAATAAATATGCACACAAAATATGCACAAAAGGAATTACTGGCAAAGTAAGAAAATGGATATTTAATTTCCTAATGAACAGAACCCAAAGAGTAACAGTCAACATAGTAAACTCCAGGTCATCCCCCATGAAGAGCTCAGTACCTCAGGGTACTGTGCTTGCTCCAGTACTTTTTCTCATCCATATCAGACACAGACAAGGACACAACCTATAGTACTGTATCATCCTTTGCAGATGACACTAGGATTTTTATGAGAGTAGACAATATAAAGGACACAGCATACCTCCAATCTGATGTTAATCAGGTGTTCCAATGGTCCACAGAAAGTAATATGATGTTTAACAAAGACAAGTTCCAGTTCCTGCACTAGAGTAAAAACAAAAATATCAAAACGGAAACCACATATAAAATGTAGTCAATAGAATTCAATAGAATGTAGTCAACATTCAATAGAATGAAAAAGCAATATAAAGGATCTGGGAGTAATCATGTCAAAAGACCTTAATTTTAAAGAACACAATGAAGTAACTGTCATAACTTCAAGAAAAATGACAGGCTGGATAACAAGAATCTTTCAAGTAAGAGATGTCATACCAATCATGATACTTTATAAGGCACTAGTGCTCTCTATGGTAGAATATTGTTGCACACTCACAGCCCCATTAAAGCTGGAAAAGTTGCTGCTGTGGAAAACATGCAGAGATCCTTTACTTCCTGAATCCATTCAATAAAACCTCTAAATTATTGACAATGTTTAAAATTTCTAAACCTGTATTTTCCAAAGCACAGGTGAGAGATATATATTATAATTTACACATGGAAAATATCAGGAGGACTGGCTCCAACTCTGCACATGGAAATAACACCACATAAAACCAGGAAGCATGGCAGGAACTGCAAAATAACCCCCTTGAAAAGCAGAATTGCTATAGGTAAGCTGAGACAGAATTCTTTCAACTTTAAGGGAAAAAGATTTCAACACACTCCCTCTACACATAAGGGGCATAGCTAGCCACCATCCACGGTGTTCAAAAGAGAACTTGATAAACACCTCCAAAGGATACCTGGTCAACTGGGCAGTGATTCATACGTCAGACTGCGAGCAGCGGCATCTAACAGCCATGTTGACCAGACCACCAACCAGGAAGCCTGATCAGAGGCTGGGCCATCAGGACATTGATTCCTGGAACCAACAATAAGTAATCAACAGGTAGGTAGTAAAGGTTTATCTATGAAATGAT